TTTTATTTAGTTTCTCTCATGATTCTTCTTTATTTCTATGTCTTCCTGATGCTGTCTTACCCAAGCTGTTAACTTGATTCAGGCTGTAACTATGAAGAGCAATCATCCAGAGAAGTCCTCAGCTTGACAGGCTCAGATGAGGAGCCATTTCCCTCAGAGCTATTTTTCATTGTCTTTCTTTGTGTATGTTTACAGAACAGTGTTTTTCTTGTGAAGCCAGACTTTCTACCACATTGTGCAAACTACCCAAAATGAAATGAGGCATCCCTATGTGCTAACCACTGTCCATGGAAGCCTGATTCCATGTAGGTGTTCATATTTGAGTTACCTAGGCAACAGCCACAAAAGACCTGAGGGCCAATAGTATTCCATTTCCAAAATTTCATAACTTCAGATTTCATTTTAGTTATATCCATGCTTTCCGTCAACCCCAGGGAACCCTCCAGCCGATTTGTTTTGAAGGCCATAGACAATGCCTTCTACGCAAAAGTGTTTTAATTTGTCTTTAAATCCAAACCAACCATGAAGACATCTTCCTGTTTTCCTCCCTTCGTTTACTATCTCCATTGCCCCCCCCCCGCTTTCTCCATTCCTTCATTCCTTCTCTTTGAATGAATATGTTTCCTTCTGTAAAATCTTGAGTTAGAGTATCAACACAAATCCAATAACAACACAGACACCTCTGTTTCTTCAGGAAGTCCTAACAGAGTTAGTGATATTGCTTAATGCATGATGTACATACCAGAAAGACTGCAAGAGTAAACCTTCTGCTTGAAGATTACTAACTTGACAGTTAATGAAGGAAAAGAGCAACAACAACTGAAAAGGAAGGGCAAGATGCACTTTCTGACACTTGGTTTGAAGAAGGACTTGTGTTGTAAGTGCATATAAATTTGAGAAGTGCTTTAAGAAATGCAAACTTTTTCGACTTTGAGATTGGGCAGACACTGTGCTCAGGAGGAATGATCTGGATTAGAACATTACAATGCCAGGCTTATGCAGGAATAGATGGCTCATCACTGCGCTCTGAGTGGTTCTAGCTCTCAATTCTTCCTATTCAAAAAGTTGTCTCTTTTCACCTACCTGCAATTTAGGCTTGAAATTAGCATAAAATTGGAGATGAATTCTTTTGCATGAATGTGTCCCTACCTGTATTACAAACAAATATTATTGGCTGGAGAGGACTAGGAGAAAGCATCAAATATTGTCATTCCTTTACATATCAGAGCAGATTATTTGAAGAGAGTTTTCTCCAGAGTTGCTTTTCTCCCCAATAATTGAGAGTGCACTGTAAACTGGGAAAGAAATTTAACTTTACCTTCTGTGTCATTTTACCAGAGATGAGTTCTGGCCAAGGCCTAAGTAGAGCCTTTTTAGGAACATAGTAATATTGAAAAATTTCCTTGGTGCTCTGTGGCCCCTTTTCACCATTTATTCAACAATTGTTTATTAAACATTTACTATGTGTGAGGCACAGTGCAAAGCACTCAGGTTCACAATGTGCATTGATGAACAATGGTGATAAACGATGATTTTCATAATCCAGACTTTTAGCTGAGTATAACTCTACATTGAAGGAGGATGAAGGCTTCACGCGATAGGCACTTGATCAAAGGTTGCAAGTCAAACTCAAGAAACTAGATCTTCCAGATCAAAGTCAGTGGAAAACGGAGTAGGAAACTTGAGTAAGATGCTCTTTAGAGGAGGGCTTTTACAGCAGAATGTTCAATGAATCTGGAAAACAATGTAAAGTGTTGAGGTTTAGAAAAGTAACTATCTGGAAGAAGTACGGAAGTGAGAATCAGCACATGTCAGAGAAGAGACTTGCAGATCCTGTAGTCTAGTTGAGGGGGAGGATGGGAAAAATTTGTTGACAGTCGTACTATGAGTCATTAGATAAACCCAGAGTTCTGGTGTTCTGATTCCCAATGCAATCCACTTTGCAAGCAGTAATGAAGAACCAGTGTTATGGAATGACAAATATGTGCTTAGCATTATAACTTACTTAACTACCTCTCTTAAAAGGATTAAATTAGCCAGATGTGGTGGTGCACGCCTTTAATCCCAGCACTTGGGAGGCAGGCAGATCTCTTTGTGTTCGAGGCCAGCCTGATCTACATAGCGAGTTCCAGGCCAGCTGGGGCTACAGGGAGACCTTGTCTCAAAAAGGCCAGAAAAAGGGGGGGGGACTAAATTGCATTTAACCCTGTTTTAAAGATGAAGAAACTTGAGGAAATGAAAACTTAGGGGAGGTACTCTCAAGACATCCATTCCTGAAAGCTAATATTAGCTTTGTATATAAAACAGTGTAGTTGGTGACACCCAATCCCCAGCTCTACAACACTCTGCCTTAAATCAGGCTGTTCCAGGGCTAAGCTTAAACAGAGCTGTAAATTCCTTATAGTTAAATAGTTAATTTCTGGTTGTTTATTCCAATTTATTTGTCTTTCTACCTTTCTCTAATTTATTCTTTCATGGGGGAATGAGAAAGTCTTAAACTACAAATGAGTCAATGTAAGTAGAAGAAAAGGTATAATGAGTCGGGCCTGGTGGTAGCTCATGCCTTTGATCTCAGCACTTGGGAAGCTGAGGCAGGCTGATCTCCACACTCAAATGATAGGAAAGGAGGAGGGTCCTGGAACATTAGGAGGTTACAGAGATTTTGAGGAGCTCTGGACAGAGAAAATATACTTTATTCATTAGCATATAGGCCACAAGTCAAGCAGCTGTTGGCAGGCACCCAGGCACATGCCAGCACACACAGGCAGGACATAGGCAGGCACAGGTAGGCACACAGATTGGCACATAGGTCTTCAGAGAGACATACAGGCAGGCTGGTGCAGGGGAAGAATTCAGGTTTCTGACATTCAGGTCATATTACACAGAAGTACATGAAAGTGGCATTCTGCCAAAAACAGTTGTAAAATTGATTACATCCCTGTTTACTTTTGGGAACCCCAGATAGGTGGTGTGAGCCATTTTGTGTGACTCATAGACCTCCAGATGTCTAGCATTAGCTATCTTGACCTATACTGGGTATAACATGTTGTCTAACTATAAACTGACCTTTACAGCCCTCTGTTCCAAATAGGGTGTGTTCTCCGTGTAGGATTTCCTTTATCATTATCCACTCCTGGTGCTTGAAAGAGTGAAGTCCTCTAAGGAAAGAGGTATATAGTTCAATGTCATTGTTCTAGTACAGACTTCAAACAAGGAACCCTCTCATTAAAGGGAAAAGCTTGGGGCTGAAGGAAGGTTGGAAGAGATGCATGTGGCTGTTCACTAGAGCTCAGCCTGTAGACTATGCTTTACACATTACACTTTAGATTGTGTGTCACTTACCCTCAAGCCAGATGCAGATGCACAGACCAGATTTTTTTTTTTTTAGAAAGAGAGGTTAGACTATATTATCATTCGGAATCTAAGAATAAATTTGAGGTCTAGGCATATAATCATCCCCGAAACATCATTCTTCTATTTCTAAAGCACAATTGGAAGTTTTCCTCTCTCTAACCCCCCAATCCCTCAGTTTGTAGCTCATGTTATTATCAGAAATACTTCCTCTCACAAGTTGTTCTTGAATCATTTAAGCCAGTTTGTACTTGTTTATGAATATGGAGAATACTAGTTTGGTGGGTCTTTAAATATTCCAGGTGTGTTCCATATTGGTCTGTGTCTTTATATTCTGAGTCCAAATCCAATGGTCTCCTGTTTTTAGCTTACTTGGTTTTACAGGTTGTCATGTTCATAAATATTCTGTATTCTCAAAGCTTCATCATCCTTGGATTATATTATACCATTATATCTAGAATTACCTTTTTCTTACAGGCTTGTAAGACTGCACTGTGATGTCTTTTCTGATTTACTTTTAAGTGTTGTGGGTTCTCAGACTTTCTTCACTGATTACATATATATTAAACTTTTTGTGTGTTATGTGTGTGTACCTGCTTGTCTGTCTGTACATTATGTGCCTGCCGTGTCCTCAGAGGCTAGAAGTAGGTGGTGTTAGATCCCCTGGAATTGGAGTTACAGGCTGTTGTGAGCCACCTGATATGGGTGCTGGGAACTGAACCCATGTCCTCTGCGAGAACAATAAGTACTTTTAACTATTCAGCCATTTCTCTAGCCCCCTTCCTTGATATATGTAATCCTGGAGGAATTCATCTTAATTCTTCCACTGTTACATCTTCCACTATTACATCTTCCACTATTACATCTCCTCCTCCCTCGTCCTTCCTCTCCTGTTTTCTCTCCTACCCTCCCTTTCTTGAGGTTGAAGATATGAAGTGCTACATGTACATAGTTGTCAAAGAGTTCTGTATCTTTATCACAGCTAGAAATATAGGAAGTTTATAGTCTCCTCCCCTCTCCTTTCCTCCCTTTTCCTTGCTCTTCCTCTCCCCAAAGCAATCTTCCCTGTTTTCCTCTGTCTGAGCTACCTCACATACCACTTTTTACTCTGCATTGTTATTTTCTGTTTACACCTGCCTGTCTGTAGGAAAACAATATGGAGCGGAGGAGGAATGGACTTACTAGAAACTACAATAATGATAATATACCAAATATAATGCTAATGACTATCCAGGCCATGTTATAAGCACCTTCCATATGTTAACTCATGTAATCTTTACAATACTGTGAGGTGGGCAGTTATTACTAAAGTCAAATCAACTGGACTTGGTGATGGATTGAATGTGGAGGGTAGCCAATAAGGAGCCTCCATAATTTTAAGGGTTTTGACTGAAGCAAGTGAGTGAACAGTAGATGCCATGTACTGAGATAAGGACAAGAAGAGAAGAGGTTTTAGTTGAGTGGGGAAAGGAAATTTTCACCTTGGAATACTGCCATTATATTATAAGTGGTTTCTCCTGAAGCTTTGGAAATAGTGTAACGAATCTTTTCCTGTGGTTGACAGGCACTTGGAAAGTCCACTGTCCATCTTGGGAGAACAGAATAATCCTCCAGTAGCTCCTCAGTAGCTTGTTGGAAGCAGGAGGGCTATGTACCTGGGACTCTGGCCCTATTCTTGCCCTCTGTTGTTTTGCCATTTCCAGCAGACTTTCAGGACACCATGGCCTTGCATCCTCCAAGCTCCAGCTGTGCTTGTACCTCCTGGCCCTACTTTCTCTCATGCGGTGGATACAAGCAATCCCCTTCAAGATAGGGGTGGTGGGCTCTTGGACATGTGGTCCATTTTTCTCAAAGGCACTGCCTGGGGTTGCTGCTGGTTTAGCAATTAAACGAATCAGCCGGGACAAGTTATTTGATAAAGAGTCACTGTTTTGAATATGTGATTCTTACAAGGAAGACTGCCAGACTTCAAAGGCTCTCTTCACTTTCATTTCCCACCACCAGATGGCCTCAGGATTTGTTGGACCTGCCAACCCTGGCTGCTGCGAGGGAGCCTCACTCCTAGGAAACAGCTAGGACAAAGGGATATTCTCTTGGGCCTGTGTGAATCACGAATTAGATAATAAATACAGATAACCAATATTTTCTAGGACACTCCCTTCTCCTATTCGAGTACTTTTAACAGTCATGAAATATTTCCAGTGCTCATGCTGGGGTGATTGCCTCAGATGAAGACATCTGGGTTCATACAGCCAGTCTCAAGTGCTCTTCAGAGCCACGGCCTACCTGTAGGGGTCATCCTGACCACAGGACAAGACAGCCAAAGCATTCAGAAAGCGCTCCAGGGGATTCACCAGGCAGACATAATTCGCAGTGCTTGCTGAGACTTAAATGTAGCTTCGGGAAACATTCACATGACAATATCCAAAAGGTTTTCCGCCCTCATACCCTAGGCTAGCACATTATCCTCTAGTTTTTTATGGATTTATCCTCTTTCACTCTTATGCAGATCCCAAGACCGTGACTTCAAAAGAGCCAATCTCAGGGACACAATAGGGATCTCAAACACTCGGTGGTTCAGATGCCCTTGAGTACCAGTACCCGCCTGTTTTCACCACCTCGGTGGAAGAAGGACATTAAGAGTAGTGTAGCCACACACTCTGCCTTGAGGACCATAGCAGTATCAGACTAGGTACAACAGTATGTTCTTGTGGTTTCCTTTTCCTCTGATTTTATCTTGGAGGGGAGATTTATTTTTGACTCCCTTCTGAGTAGGTCTTTCAGACTTGCCCAGTCCCCTTGTATCATCACATCTCATTTAGTACCTAACCGCTCTGAAGTCTTAAAGGCCTTCCCTTGCTCCCACTCCATCTCCCAGGGCAGCACACAACTCCTTGGTATGGAAAGCACCTAGGTGATATATGAAAGCATGTCAAAATAAGAGTCCTTAAGTAATGGCATGCCTCTCATTCATTCCAAGTGAAGTTTTATGCTCAAAGATGATTCTTGCAGAGGCAATAGGCAAAATGTGCCACAAAAGACTTAACTCACTGAAGCTACAGTTACAAAGGGAGTTTGGATTGTTTTAGGAGGGTAGGACCCTTCCTGGGTCTCTGAAATCAGATTATTTTTTCTTACACTTATGATACCTGGTTTCGATTTTTTTCTATGGCATCTTTTAAAAAAATAATAAACCTCCACTTGATGTACCTCTGGAAGTGGCAGAGATTTGGGGGAAGACTGTTTATTGTCCCATTGCATCCACTTCATCACTTTGGGACCTATAGTTCAGAAACTGCTAGTCAAACTGATTACTTCTAGAATTAGTCCTGGTCTCAGTCATTTTCTTAACACAACAACAGATTTGTTAAAGGATGTTCCATCTTAGGCCTGGCTTATAACTAGAAGCCCATTTTAAGTTTCAAATGTCTCTTGTATTTTACCTTAATTATGTTCATAGTGGGAGAGCGAGGGCAAGACTTTCGGCTCTAGGCATCACAGTTGTCTGCTTCCCGCTCCAGTCTATAAGATTTTACAATTAGTTGTTAAGCAATCAGCGTGGCTCTGATTACTTAATAACAGAACTTATTAACACACAGAATTATTTTTAAAGATATAAAATCATTTCCAGGGAAAAGCCATGCCCCAAACAGAAGATATTTACTATCATAACCTTATGTTACATAGCTTCATGAAGCCTAGTGTCACTTATGTTTACATTCCATGAATGTTGCACATCTCACTCATTCTAAATACTATACTTTGAAGTGATATTTTGGCCCCTGCCGTGAAATGTGAATAAATCCAGGCCCTTGGTTCTGTCAGAGTGAGAAAAATTGTGACTGAGTGCTGACCATCACCAACTGATTTGTGGTAGAGAGGTAGTAAATGTGCTTTTTTTTTTTCTTTCTTTCTTTCTTTTTTTGGTCAGGAGTTAGGAGTTCTCACTGTAGCTGCCCACTAGATTTACTTGAACAACTTTTCAAAATGAGTGGAGCCACCTCCAGAGATTCTAATTGGATTGGTCTGTGGTGGGGCCTCAGAAAAGGTCTTTTAAAATAACTTCTCAGGTGCAACCAGTGTTGAGACCCACTGCTTTTAACTTAATGGAAATGCAAATAAATGTTCCTCATTTGAAGTGACCAGTAGTTTTTGCTTTAATAAGACTTTGTTTACTCAGAACCAGAATGTATTCTTGATAACAATATGGATAAGCCCACTAAAGAGATAGGAATTTTGAGATGGAGGGCGAAAGCCTAGAGAGAATGTTTTAGGAACAATGAAAGATACTATTTAACAAGGACAGCAACAACAGTGGAGGGCGGGCATGGGGCGGACTCTGAAAGAGAAAATATAAGGAGTCAAGATAAACGTCTGCTACAGTTTTTCCCTCAGGTTTCTGACTCAGATGAGGTGTCTCAGGAGCTCAGTAATGTCACAATGTGATTGGGTGTGGGAGCAGAGAAACTGAGTTTTAGGTTGGGCTGTAGACTATGACTACAGAGCTCTCTAGAATGATCAAGGAATATGTGGGTCCCTCAGTCGGTATACTCAAGTGTTGGTATCTGAGGCCTGTGGGTGAAACATGGTAGTAAAAATTGCGTAAGGGGCGTGAGTGGTAAAGAAAATAAGCCTTTAGGTCATTTCAAAGAAGACCTGTTAGGCTGTGAAACTAAGAGCTCTTAACATGGAGACTAACCAAAGTTTGAAATTCTCCACAGGATGACATCATGGTCACTCAATAGTGTTATGTTTCTCTGAGAAAATATAAAATTGGTGACGTGGGAAAATAACTACTTTTCAATGTTTTAAGAAGATAATATGCTTTGTTTTTGTTTTTCACTTGATCATTTGTTGAGAATAGTGCTGCAGCAGGTGGGAGCATGAGAAGCAGCATCTAGGGAAATAAAATGGAGCATCAATGCTCTAAACAAGTAGCTCGTGACAGAGGGTCCCATGAAAATTCTGGAAAGCATGTGGGAAGCAGCCAGCAGCCAAAGAATATGAATTTGACCAACACAGTAGTGAAGATCTTTAGAGCAGAGCAGACACAACACAGAACAGACCAAATGTCTAGTTCCTTTTCCAGCTCCTCTCACTTAGTGGGATTGAAGCTGTCATGGATTCCTAGCTATTATATACTTTGATTGTGATGAATTAAAACAGCACTGGCATTTTTGTATGATCTCAGCAGAGAAGGGCTGAGGAGGATAGGGGTTAAGTACGTCACTGCTTCCTGGCTGCAGACTGGTTGGTTCTTAACACTGTGGACTCCCAGGAAGCCTTCAGAGTAAAATATTTTGTAATATACAAAGTACAGTGGAAAGGATCCTATCCTTTGAAGAGGTCTGATAGTATTTGGAAGTAATAAAAAATAGTTGAAAGTTTAGTTCACAATAACAATGATGGCATTCCCATGTGACAATGGCAGTGGGTGAGGGTAGTGACAGGGATAGTGACGATGGGATGGATTCAAGAGAAGCACAGGCTATGACTACTGTTTGGTGTGCCAGCCCTTTTCCTTAAAAATTAATGTTCCCAATTAAGCCACATTACTGGCAGTTCACTGTAGTTAGAGGAAACACCTTTCTCAGAAACAAGTCTGAGTCATATTTACACAGTATGAAGCCATGGTCATTTAAATAGTCAAGTAGTAACACTTATAAAGCTGCAGATTTTTAGGAGGGGAAACAACAGAGGCATTATCAGATGTTGGGTCATAGAGACAATAACAACCACCATAATTCTACTTTATATGTAAATAGCACTCTCCAGCTTCCAAGGTATTTTGCACATAAATCATCTCATCTGTCAATATTTTTCAGGAGGTGGCTTTTTTTTTCACTTCAAATTTTACAATATAATGAGGTCGCTAAAGTCTCAGAGCAGGGGGATTCAGCCTTTTCCAGGTTCTCAACTCATTTCTTTTAAATCTTAGAAGCGATTGCCAATTATCTTTATTTCTAACAAAGTCAAATGGAGGTATTAGTCAAAGACAAAGACCTCAATTTGCAGTCAGGGATACTGTGTGGGATTATGTAGGTTTCCCCTGCACATGAGAATTTAGTTTAGTGGGTATGGGGGCTAAAATTCCATGCACTCTGCTCCTCCAACCGTGAGCCCTGCTGGAGGTTTTTGTCCTGGGACACAAAGGAGTATTCATTCACTCCCCCAGCAAAGCACCTGAGGGATTGCATTCACCCAGGGGGAGTTCCTTTTCTAATTCTTACAAAGTCCAGCAGGAGGCCTTACCTCCAGCTCTTCAGAGGATTTTTCAAATGACTATTTCAAGCCCTCCTGTCTTCTCCTCTTGGTGAAATCCTTTTAATTTGAGATTACCTTGTTTTTGGATCTTTTGGGGCTTCCTTTAAATCCTTCCAAATTGGGTTTACTTCTTTATAACAGTCAAAACTGCCCTCTCTTCTCCCCAAATTAGATGCAATTTGCTGTCTTCATAGCCAGGGATCTGGGTAGCTTCTGTCTATCATATTCTTGCACATAAAATAACAATAACTATGATGATAACCAATATTTATTGAGAGTTTATTATGTGCTTGGCATTTAAAAAATTTTATTTTATTTTTAAGAATTTCAACGTCGGGCGTGGTGGCACACGCCTTTAGTCCCAGCACTTGGGAGGCAGAGGCAGGCAGATCTCTGTGAGTTCAAGGCCAGCCTGGTCTACATAGTGAGTTCCAGGCCAGCTGGGGCTATAGGGGGACCTTGTCTCAAAAAGACAAAGAAAAAAAAAAAGAAAAAAGAATTTCATACATGAGTATTGTCTTTGAATTATTACCATCCTTTCCAGTCCCCCTCCAACTCCTCCATGTTCTGCCTTCTCAATTTCTTATCCTTTTCTTTATTAGTTACATATATATATGTATATGTTTATATATATATAATGCACTGAGTCCACTTAATAGTGCTAATGTGTACCTGTTTAGGTTTAGGGCTGCCCATCTAGTCTCTTGAGAAAACTGATTCTTCCTCCATCAGCTTCCATTGATTATCTGTAGCTCTTCATCCAGTGGTGGGACTCCATGAAATTTCCCTCATTCAATTTGGCATGCCACCTGTTTTTGTCATTGCACAGACCTGGTTAGACTACCGTACTGTGGAGATTTCATTGGTGTAGCTTCCCATCATGCCTAGAGTTATGCTAGGCATTTTGAAAAGTCTTTGTATGGACTATTTCATTTAATGCTTTCAATGTCCTTCCATATAAAACAGGACCGATTATTGCTTCCTAATTTTGTAATACCTCTGCTGCAGAGGAGTTAAATAACTTGCTTGATGTCACACAGCTAGTGAATGGGGAAACCAAAATATACTTATTCAGGTTTATCTGAAGCAGTAGGTTTCAAATCTATGTG